TTCAAGGGGATCTGCACTGGCTGTGAATGCAAAGGTGTTCTGGGCCTTGGACTGCAAATGTCATCCTGGCCAGATACTTCACTGTAGCAGCTGAAGCTGGCAGGAGCTCCTGCTTCCCAGGCACCTCTCCCTGGGTTACCTTTGCATAATCTGCAGGCTGGGAAAACACCAGCTGTAAAATGGGACCACTCCTTTCACAAAGCAAACTGCACAGGAGAGCTGCACAGGTCTCCTGGCATCTCCTTCCACGGATAAAACTGTTGGAAGCAGCACTGTGGAAATGGGAAACGCAAAGCCCTTAGATGTCCTGGCACCCACTGAGCCAGGCAGCTCCCTGAACACAGTGAGCTCAGCTAGAAGAGAAGGTTTTTCTTCCTGTAGATTGCCACGAGCTGGAAGGAAAGCACTGTGCCTTGTAGTGCTTCTGCTGCACTTGCCCTCTTTGCATGGAGCCCTGTTGTTGCTCAGCCACACTCCCCTCCCCACCCTCTGTCCCTCCAGCCCTACGCATGCACCTGTGCTGCATTTAATACCTAGAGTTAGTCTAAACCTCAAAGCAGTTACTCAGGGGTGAGGTAGAGTACAAGTTGCCTTCCTGTTACCAGTGCTGCTGTAAAGGCTCTGTGCCTGGAGGCAGGGCTGAGGCCCCTCTCTGTGCCATTTGCAGCCACCCTGCTGGACTCGGGCTGCGGGACGGCATCGAGCTGGTGGTGGCCAGCGTGGGGGACAGCCGTGCCATCCTCTGCAGGAAGGGCAAGGCCATGAAGCTCACCATCGACCACACCCCCGAGAGGAAGGAGGAGAAGGAGAGGTACCTGTGCCCTCCCAGGACACGCCTCGCTCGGGATGTGCTCCTGTTCTGCTGCTGGGAGGGGCCGGGAAGAGAGCAGAGGGTTGAACACAGTGCCCCAGCAGCACCTCTGAGCTGTCAGGAGGTGGCACAGCTCCAGCAGCTGAGCTGGTGCTGTTCAGAGGGCTGGGGGTGTGGAGGGCTCTGCATGAGGCCCAGCAGTGAGATGAGCATGGCTAGGGCTCGGCACGGAGCCAGGGCTGCATGCTTCAGGCTTGGCCAGGCCCTGAAGAAAGGTGCTGTGGTTCCCTGCCCAGGGCTCAGCCCACCAAGCCTCATCCTGGCTGTGGAGCCCTTCAAGCAGCAGAAACCACCCCTCAGCCTCCCCAGTCGGGTCCTCTGTGCCCCATGCCATGCCCACAGCTGGTGACAGAGGCTGCAGGTGGAGCCTGGTGCAGAGCAGTAACCCACGTTTGCTTTCTCTTGTGCCCCTGGACAGGATCAGGAAGTGTGGGGGTTTCATTGCCTGGAACAGCCTGGGACAGCCTCACGTGAACGGCAGACTTGCAATGACACGGAGCATAGGGGACCTGGACCTGAAGGACAAGGGGGTGATAGCCCAGCCAGAAACAAAAAGGGTTCAGGTAAGGGAAGGCCTGGCCAACAGGGACAGCAGCACTGGGACTGAGGGGCACCACCCCACAGGGGTCTGACACACACAGCAGCACCTACACCACCTGTGCCCAGCTGAAACCTGCTGCCCAGGCTCTGGCTTTGAGTTGTGGTGGAGTAACTGGAGACCAGGTCTAATTAAGTCATTTCAAATTAACACCAACAGGACAGAAGAGAATCTGGTGCTGTTACCACATTCAACCAGATCAACTTCTAAATTATTCAAAATTTATTACAATACAGTGCAGGGTGAGGGAGGAAAGATAACACATGATATCCATTACTGAAATACAAAGGGGTTAGTCTGTTTGGGGCTTATGGCCAAAGAAATAATTTTGAGGTCAATGCAGATAAAAACCATTTCTGGGAAGTAAGTAGGATATGGATGGGCTGTCATAGGGAAAAAATAGACTACGTAGAGGTTTGCACACCTGGGAGGAAGGGAGGAGGAGAGGGTGGTCACATTCATCCCACCAGAGCTCTGTAGTTGTCTGAAAAACACATCAACACCCAGCAGATACTCAGCATGGCTGCCTTCACTTTTTCAGGGAGGCTTTCCTCTCAGCTCACATTCTGTTTGAGTGGAGCTCACAGGGGCTGGGGAGCTTCAGCTCATCTATAATCACATGCCACCCCCTAGGCCTGAGCAGTTTAAGGTGCCTGCAGTGCTATCATCATGTCTTCCTCCAAATCCCCCATTTAAGGCAGCGTTTTGTGTAGTGGGTGATGTCTGGCTCTGATCTTTCAGCCCCAGCATATTCAGAGGGCTGATTCCTGCAGCTGGAAGCACCTTGAGACACTGTCCTCCAGTACAGGCACCACAGCCTGTGTGGCTGATGGGTGTGCTGGGGGATACAAGGGGCAGGTTTTGGCCAGCTGAGGATTGGGGGGTGCTGGCTCATCCTCGCACAGAAGGCAGGAGAGCACACAGCACCCCAGAAACAGTGCTGTGCCACAGAGCTTGAATACCCAGCGGCAGGTCCCGCGCCCTGCAGCCCTGGCCGTGCCCTCACGCGCAGTGTGTGCCCTGGTTGCAGCTGCACCACGCAGACGACAGCTTCCTGGTCCTCACCACCGACGGCATCAACTTCATGGTGAACAGCCAGGAGATCTGCGACTCCATCAGCCAGTGCCACGACCCTGCCGAGGCTGCCCACGTGGTGGCCGAGCAGGTAGGGCCTGGGCTGCTCCTGGGGGGGGTCTCCAAGCCGAGTGGAGGGAGCTGTGCTGGTGCAGACACACTCCTCCTTACCCTGCCTCTGGCCCCTCACTGGGCACCAGCTGGGCTCACCTGGCCAGCTCAGCACCCACTGACAGGCGTGGGGCCACGGCTGCAGTTCGGTGCTGGTGGCTCAGCAGGGGGAGCAGTGGGTGGTTCCCCACCGGGGTTGGGGGGTGGCAAGGTGCACCATAGAGTGCAGCCAGAGGGGAGCCTCGGGGGTGCTGTGCTGTGTGGAGCAGAGTCTGCTCCCGTTCTGAGCAGGATGACACTGCTGACCGACTGTTCCCTCTCCCAGGCAATGCAGTTTGGCACTGAAGACAACAGCACAGTTGTCATCGTGCCCTTTGGAGCGTGGGGGAAGTACAAGAACGGGGAGATCAACTTCTCCTTCAGCCGCAGCTTCGCCTCCAGCGGGAGGTGGGCGTGAGGAGCTCCTCAGTGACCCAGACCCCTCAGTGATCCACACCTCCTCCCTGCCGTGACCCGGACAGTGCTGCAGGAGAACGTGCCCACCTGTGCATAGGTTGACTCTGTCTTGTCCATGGTGTCCCCAGCGCCAGGAGAGGCCCCTGCTGGGTGCCCAGCGCCGGGTGTTGATCGGGTCGGCGTGGGGGCAGCTCTGCCCTCGGGGCTGCAGCCCCAGCAGCTCTGCCCTCGGGGCTCTGGGCTGCCACCTGCGTCTGGTGGTGTCACAGTTGTTTCCCAGCTCCCTGTTGTAGTTCCCTGGCAGCTGTGCCAGCCTGGGTCTGAGCCACACACGTGCTGCCTCTTTGTGCGCTGGCACACGGGGGAGCAAACGCAGGGGGTTGTGTGGTAGGCAGAGAGGAAGAGAGCTTGTTGTCTTCCTCTGCTGTGCAGCCACTCAGAACTCCCCTGTGCCTCAGGAGGAGCAGAAGGGAGAAGTTTCAGAAGTGTTTAGGTTCTGAGGCCAGTGCCACTTGGTGTAGCTGAACAACTTGCTGAGACAGTGCTGCTTTGCAGGGCTCTGCTCTCCCCCCTCACCCGTGGTCCCACGGCCCCCAGGAGACAGGGCAGGCTGGAGCCACGTGCCCCTGGACACAGGGGAACGTTTCTCCCTTGGGTCCAAGGCCTGTACAGTCTCTGGACCACGAGCAGCCCCCTTCACTGTCTTCTCCTTGGTGTGCCAGTCCTCCACAGGGGCACAGAGGAG